AGCCACTGAGCATTAAAGCCAAACTGATTTTAAAAAGCTAAAAGAAAAACAAAAGGGTCCTCTCACCATCGGTGACAGACCATTTAGACCAAAGTAGGGGTGGGCCAAATGGAGGAAATTATATATATATATATCTTTGTTATTAAAAATTAAGAACAAAGATGCAAATTATAAATAATAGGACAAATGCAATAGAAGGAACAAATATAAATAAACTTGCTCAATATTTTAAACAACAGGTGCCTTAACTGTAACAGTAACATTAAAGTAAGATACTAAATAAAAAGAAATCACTATAAAATAAAACACTAAATAGGCTTCACTGTATTAATTAAATTTACATTGATTCTTAAAGCTACTGAATTATCCAGTCAAGAGTGAGTAATTTTCTCTGTATTCTGTTGATTGATTAACATTAATGATGACACAGACAGCAGTGTTAGGCTGCTGTCACTTTAAGACCTATGCAGAGACCCAATATATGATACCAGGGATGCACAGAAATGTAAATGTATCCTGGGCCAAAACCAAAAATTCTGAATTTTCTCCTGAAAAATAAATAATAAATTAATATAATCAATCAATCAAATGAATTTATGTAATAATTTACACTCAAATAGCTACAACTTAGTTGTACAAACCTTTAAATTGCACTTAAGGCAGTTGGATGGGACGGGGGTGCCAGAACTGCAATGCGTGTTGTAGCTAAGCATGATACTAAAATATCTTTTTAAAGGCAGACCATGGTGACATATCGCACACCCCTAAAAGCAGTTATTTTAAATTGTAATAATATTTAACAACATTATTGTTTTTATGTTTACTGTATTTTTATAAATAAACCCATGTTGAAAATAAGTCATTAAGACTAACTTTTAAATGGCAGTGCACATAAAATGATTATTTTTAGAATTTAATCTCATACCAATTTAAAATTAACACATGCATAAATGCTTTCTCAAGTCGCTCAATTGTCAATATAAACGCAAGTATGTCTGACATGCACTCTTAAAAATGCCTTGAAAACATTTTTGAATTTACTATAAATGTCGATATCCAACGCTGCAAATAAATGTAGATATCCAACGCTGCAAAACAATACGCTCTCAGTGCAATCAACAATGCAGACACTGTGTAAAATTAATATATATTCTGCGGCATAAAAAACTTGGTTTATTATAATGGACAGTTCAAAAGAGAAACTAAGCAATGCAAATGAACCTCATTTAAAACTTCAAGAAATTAATGACAATTCGAATTCGAAGGGGAACAATAAGGTGGATATCCTTTCTCTCAATCCACAACCTTTTTCCTCTGTTGTTCCTTGCTTTAAAACCTATCATCATGGAACTTCTATGCAATGTTTACATCAAGCTACACTGAAATATACCTACAACAGAACTAACCAAGGCCCTTTTATCAAACCTTTTCTCACCCCACATGGGGGGAAAAAGCACCTGCGGAAAATTCAAAAGAGAAAGAGGGCTGCTTTGCCAAGCTGTCAGCATAAAACTATGGCTGTGGAAATGAAAGGACGATCAACGGCACCCGCCAAGTCTGATTGAGTCGGGCTTTTTAATTGGCGGCAGGTTTGTTTGGAGTCAGTGGCCTATCGGTGCCACTCTTCTCTCCCCGAGAGTGAGAAAACGTTTGCTGAGATGTGGTTTCGCCACTTCACATGGCACCACCTATTGGACTTCATCAAAAACTTGGCCTGGAGTTTTCACACTTAGTCGTGTGCCTCTCCCCGAGAGCCCACACCACAGGACACGACAGCTTTGCTGTTTCGCAGTACACTAGGTGCAAATATTTTTACACACTGACAAAGAGAGCGAGAGGGAGGGAAGGAGAGGGAGAGGAAAAACAGCACCATGCAATGTAGGATGGAAAGGAAATTAAAATAATACAAGGGTAAACTCAATTTCAGCTCCAAACACGCTCTCTCGCTCTTCTGTCAGTCCCGTGCTCGGCAGTTTGCGAGAAACGAGAGAACTGGGGATGTAGCTTTTGCTCAGCCATTGTTTTGACAGCACTTATGGGCGGTAAATGCCAGGACATTTCCACTCAGGCTGGTTGTGAGTTGTGTTGCTAGAGCTGAAGGATTGCATTATGTTGTGTGCTGGGCCTTTTAACATGGCTGTACTTCAAGCATAGCTCCCATTTTGGTAGACAATGTGTCTGATTATAACCTCTGGCTTGGCAAAGATTGGTGACACTCATGAGAAATCAACTTTAAGGACCCAAAGGTGGCTGCTCTGAATGCATCTTTGAATGCAAGCTCAATTAGCAGTGTCTAACAGTGTTTTGAATTTGAACTAGTGTCAGCATAAATTACACATTCTTGTTTTAAGAAAAATCAGAGGCTGGCAGCGAGAGGCAGGGAAAAAAAGGGGCAGAAATGGGTGGTAACGTCCACACTCAAGATTCGGACCTGCATACACACAGACGTCCCTTTAATAGAAAATAGAAAAAGCAGAAACCCAGTAAGAGTTTCATCTGAAAGGTTATTCTTTTATAGGAATAGTTTGCTTATTTAATCATTTATTTAGCTACTTATTTACTAATATATTTAATTACTTTGTTTTATCGCAGGAAATGAGAATCTTTTTCTATCATTTTGCAAGCAAAGATGGAGTCGGTGAAGAAGAAAAATGTTACAGTTGATTAATCGGTTTTTGGCCAGAGTGGTCCAACCTAGTTATCTTTATTGGTCAAATCCACTATCGGTCGACCTCCATAGATTTCAAATAAAAAAAAAAAAAATTTAAAAACAATTTCAAAATAGTAACTTGAATGTATAATTGAAGTATTTTAAATACAAAGTCATTTGACAAGCTATATTATTATCCCTGACAGCATTTAAAAGACAACTGAAAACTCATCTCTTCCGTGAGCACTTTAAATAAAAACAAAAGAAATTCCTTACTTTCCTGGTTTATACTACTCTGAGCGATGTTTGAACTTTGCATATTGAGCACTTCTTGCGTTGTTATTGCCTCTCCACAATGTCCTGTTTGATTTAGTCCTCAGATGTAAGTCGCTTTGGATAAAAGCGTCTGCTAAATGACTAAATGTAAATGTATCCCCAAGCCGGTCATCTAGTCATATTCAGCAATGTGACTGAATTTTTCCTCTAAACTGTGAACCTATTGAAGGACATAAACAGGCTTGAAATCAATTATTTGGAAAGGCAATTCTTCACTCACAAGTGTCTTGAAGATAAATACGACTCCACTAAATTAGCAACTGGAGATGGAGCGGCCTCCAAACATGATCAATGAGAAAGGACAAGAATCAGCAGCAAACAAATGGCCCATCACATACAGATGATTGTCCATCGCATTAATGCACCTAGAGGCTTGTTAAAACCGCACTACAGCTGGTGAAGCATCAGTAACTTGATTGGAAGGCTTATGCAGACTTAGGGTTGATGAAAATAACAGTTTTCTCGGAGGGCGATATCAGACCTGCGAAAAATCCATTCGCTTCCAAAAGTGGCCTCAATCCCAATATCAATTAAAATCTTGTCAGGACATGCAGAGCCATGTCGGGGAAAAGTAGTGTGAAACAACAAGCCCAATCACAAACAGGGCGAAAAAGCAATCTCGCCCTCCGCCTGTGGTAAACTTCTGCGCTGTTTAACACAATCAGCGCCAAAACAAATCCCCACTTTTTTCGGGAGATTTAAAAAAAGGAGGTCTGAGTTTTTTTATTTGTATCTTCAAGTGTAGAGTCGGATGAATCTGAATCGCAGTAACTGCTGGAAACTTCCAATGGCGCAATAATGACTATCCCATTGACAGGACATAGTTGGATATAATAATGTATTTGCATTAACGGTATTATTCGCCACTGTGCCTGGCTCTGAGCAATCATCCACAGGGCTGCAGTCTAACTGCTACTGGAGCCTGGCCGTATTAATACTCCTATTCATCCCGTGACTAACCCGAGCCAAGAAACAGCATTAGGCCCGGGGCCCTGCGGCCTGCATTTGGACCGGCCTCGCTGGCATGCGTATGTGCGCAAGAGCGAGAAAAAGACTGCACCTTTTCTCCTCCAACGAGCCTCCTGGATGAAGCGAAAAAGTTCTTTATATCAATTAGCCAGACAAGTGTGCAATGACCACCTGTCACCCCACGAGCCTGCTCCGATCAAGGACCGTCTGCCATCCTGCTCTGCATTCGTTCGAAAATAACACACCTAAGCTGATCTCAGATCGGTGAACCTTTTCCTCTTGGGTAAAAAAAAAATGCTGGTGGCCCAAAGCAGAGCCAGGGGGACCGTCCCAGCTCTGCCTGAGAGGCCAAGCAACGGCTGCACGGCAGACACAAAATCTGGGGCACAGACCATCTGGCTGACAGTGCAGTCTGAAGCGAAGAGGCTGTCGGAAGTCCGTTGCCAACATGGCTTGGACATTACATACCATAAACACACACACACACATACATATTCAGCTGTACAAAGAAACAAATTCTTGTTGAGACGGGATTCAAATGAGGGACTTAATGCACCGAATTCCACAGCTGAGGGCAATATTCTTCCTTTTTTGTATAAAAGATTCCTCTCTAATGATCTTACATGCAAGCAGCGATGCTAAAAAAGGCAAGTTAATCACCATCCCACCTTAAGCCCCCCAATAACTCAACCTTCACGCTCAACAAGGCAGCGAAAATTCAATGTTTTCCCCGTGATAGTTCTACGGGTTCATCCGTGCTAATTAAAAAAAAAAAATCTGAATTCCTCACATTTGAAACAACAATTAAACAGTCTCTCCTTGTACTACGACACAGAGAAGTCATAGTTAGGCTGGAAAATAACACCAGGCAGACTGCAACGGACCGTAACTAACATCACAGCTTCAACTCGAACTCGGCTTTGCTCTACCGAAGGCCAAATTCAGCAAAAAAAACACTGGCCCTCTCACACTATTAACAAACACACAGCAGACTTGCAAATGTAAAGTGGCTCGGCATGAGAGAGCAAAAGCAAACAGCTCTTACCTTGGGTTGAGCGCGTCTTGGAAAGGCAACTTTAGGATCGATCTAAATGAGACAAAAAAGCAGAGAAGGAAATATGAGAAAACTGAGCTCATGATGCTGTTACATGAAGAGGAAAATTTGAAAATATTAGAAAAAGCCAGCAATGTGCTGCCTGCGACTACTCGATAACCTTCATGGAAATGATAGCATTAATCATGATGCAATGCTCCATGTCTCGTGTGTAATCTCGCCTGGTTATTACATGCTGGTTGCATGGAGGCCTGTGTGTGACAAAACCGAATAAACACCCTTACAGAGGTTAGAGCATAATTACTCCATTACGGCATAAATAAACAGGTGGCTTTATAGAACGCCGGAGATAATTCAAAGACTCGCTGAAGAAGTGCGCTGGCCTCGGGGGAGGTCAGGACCACATGACGGGAGCTGTTTTAGCGAGAGCTGTAGATTTGCGGAGAATCAAGACAGGGCATTAGATCAATACGTCCACAACCTCCATCCCCCCCTGAGGGATTATCATTACTATGGGTGACTCTCTCGACCGCTGTACGGCTCTGCCGTGTGATAGGACATCATTAGGTTTATTGGTTAGATAAGCTATGTTATTTGATTTTACTATATTACGAGCGAAATGCACTTTCGCACACATCATGATCAAGAGCATTTGTAATTTACATAAACCGCTAGGGGTTCCGAACCAGCGGAACGATTCATCCTGGATATTAATAATAACAGATTCCCCCGGAGGATAAATCAACAACATAAATATGCCAATTGCAATCAAGACATTTTTTTTTCTCCTATCGATCTTTGAATCATTTTACATGCTGCAAAATATGGATGATTCTAATGCTAAAAAGACATTTTAAGAGATTATGATGAACTGGTATTATTTATTTCCTCTAGCTGACTTCTCACTTATTCACATTCCAAATAAATACAGCTAAATCTATATATTCACAAATGAAAACAGATAGAGAAATAAGTGAGATCCAGGCCGACCCGCTGTTGGTCATTGAAACATTCATAGACTACAACAACAGTGCCTCTTTTTAACACATAGGCCGAAAGCTTGGGCAGCCAGAGCACTAGAAGGATAGGACGGTAGATAATCATGCATGCGAGAACAAAAACAGTTCAAAGACTTGCTTCTGCACTCTCATTAAATGGAAAAATAACTCGAGGGAAAAAGATCCATTAGTGCTATATTGCTCTCGAATATACCGCACATCTGAATGCTTTGTCACTTCTTATAATGATAAGAAAAAGAAAAGCTGAATTGTGTTGAAAATGTGGCAGCATGTAAAAAGAAAAAAAAAGAAAAGTAATAAACATGTTTTGGTGAAATATGAAGGAGAGGGTCTCCTGGTAAATTAATTTGACCTGAAGAGAATTGCAAATATGTACTGCAAAAAAATAAATAAATAATTAAAATTAAAAAAAACCTTTCTGGTGGGAAATGATGCTGTTGTGTTATACTTAATTCATCCAGAAAAGTGTTTAATCTAAAACAGATTGCTTTTAGAGAAACGACAGCAGTCTCTCAGTTGTCAATACACAATGCAATTCTCACCCCAGGCCTTCAGATTTGCAGATTACACAGCTTTTAATCAAACCTGAAACAAGTGTCAAGAATACCCCTGTTCGTGTTTTCTTTGGTCCATTTACACTCTTCAAAAGTGACAAAAAGATTGGACAGGAAACTGGAAAAAAATTAAATAAATAAAAACAGACAATGCAATAAAGGGTTTTTCTGGCCTGAAGACACTACAGTTACTTTCTAAAAAATATATATATATATATATATATATAATCCATATCCACAGTCCATATATATATATATATGATAAATGAGAAATGATTAATCGCGATTAATCACATCCAAAAAAAAAGTTTTTGTTTACATAATATATGTGTGTGAACGGTGTATAATTATTTTGTATATATAAATGCACACATACATGTATATATTTAAGAAAAATGTGTTATTTATATAGAACATATTTATGTACAGTACAAATTATATATATATATAAGCTAATATTTCTTAAATATATAGTATACATGTGTGTGTGTGTATTTATATATACAAAATAATTATACACAGTTCACACACATGTATTATGTAAACACAAACTTTTATTTTGAATGTGATTAATCGTTTCACAGCCCTAAATATATTATTTACACACACACACTTTAAGTACTCAAACATTGTCAATATGAAATGCAATTTAATAAAAACTTTATAAAAAAAAATAACTGAATATCCATTCAGGTATTATATGTTAATTACTTGTATTTATTTATCATTTGGGTGGTGTTGTTTTTTTTTTTCATTTATTAAAAACATATGCAAAAAAAAACATGCAAAAAATATTCAATGGGACAATCCTAGGAAACACAACGCCGAGGAAAACGGGTGTTGATGACTTAAAAGGTCATGCCGTGAAGCAGCGATACTTAAAAACAGTTATATTTCTTCCATTATCGAAATCAAAAGCAAGGTCTTTCAACAGCGAGGGCAATTTGACATTGTTCTTAAACCTCAACCAGTGCCACTTCCTCACAGCTCCAGGTCTCCAGTTGGAGTCATGACACGACCGCCCCAACCCTGACGATGACATCACTACCCACAGCTCAGTAATCCCTGCTTTAGCACCAGCCGCTACTGTGTCCACATGATCTCAATCGTTGCTAACACTAGCTTTCTTTTTTTCTTCCCTCAGCCATTCAAGAGCATTTGAAATGTTAAACCTTGACCCACTTTTTACAAAGTATACTAGAATTACCCATGTGTGTGTGATTATGTAATCTAAACTGACCATTTTTTGATGTCCAAATTACATGTTTTTGGACTACTGCAACACTAACATATAAAATGTACTATTATTTTATTAACAAGATAGAAGTGTTTTGCCTCCTAAAGGCATTTCAGTTTACATCAGTCAAGGCCAGACTGGCAGAGAGTGAGATAATGAATAGCTCACCTGTATTTTCCGAAGACATTTAGGGCACGGAAACCAATAGAGGTGGTGAATATTCACCTGCTGTGCTAAATTATGATTAAATTAACATTTACACAACTGCTGGATTTAAGGAAACGATCAACAGTAATATATCTGCGGCTTTAGGTGGGTAATAATAAACAGTTCAACGGGTTAATCTGCTATTGACTAAATTAGCCACCTGATCTAATCTAATCAGCAACTCATTACCTCAGTTTCGTTTTTACATCTTTACGCAAACACATTATTCTTAAACCAATGATAAAAAGATTTCAATGTCAAAATAATTTTTTTTTCTTAATTTTACATTATATTTGAATGAGTTTGTTTAAAAAAAAAAACATTTACAACAAAGTGTACCTACTCAACTATAGGAACAGACAAACAATTCTAATACCCATCTTATCACAAAATTACACATTTTTTTAAATGGAAGGCACAGGGAATGCCAATATGTAGTGTTCTGGGAGAAAAGTATTAGCCACAAAACTCCTGAGGGAAGTTATGAACCTCTGTGAACATTTAAATGCAGTCCATCTCTTGATATGAACTTGCAGCAACATGGCATCTATTAAAATAAGCCAGTGAAGGCGGTATTTATCCACACCCTAGCTTTCCCAAATAAAAGGCTCTTTCACTCTGGACTCCTACAGGTAACTAGCAGCTGCATCTACAAACAGGAAAGATGGTGACTATATTAGGGGGGGAATAGAATCCACATTAACTTTACCGATAGAGCGTCTGCTTATCCTGCATGGCGTTCAGCGTCACACACAAAACTAAAAGTGTTTCTAATGGATTTAGGTAATCAAACAGGTAAGGCTGAATAAGGTAAACCTAACTCTTGCTGACAGAAATATATATGAATCAGTTTGCATGGGAAATGTAAAATAATGTAAATAATACTAATATATATTACTTCACCTTCTAAATACTGTTTTATAAGAATTCAATGCTATATAATGTAATAAATAAAATACTAATATAAAAAGACACTTCAAAATCTTTTTTTTTTAAATTAGAACCTTTATTTAAAAAAAAATTTACAACAAAAATATGACTACATATTCTAAAATTTAGGTTTATTTCAGGTTTTCATGTTTCTAGCACCTTTTAATGTCAAAACAACAGCAAACTCTGGGCATGAATAAAACAACTGAAAGATAAGTAACACGTCCATACTATTATTGAATGCTTCAAAAAAATTATATCTGTAACATTTACAATAACAGCAGTACAACAGTACAGCAGTGGATATAAAAATGAAAAAAATGTAAAAAACAAAAAAACAAAAACAAAAACTGAAAGATAAGAAAAAGGTAAAAAGTACAAATGTTTCAAAATCAATAAATGAATGACAGATTAAGAAATAAGTTGAATTTGTAATAATTAAAGTGTGTAATAATGGAAAGGGTACACAAGTGCACACACTAACCTGCACCACAAATGACAAAATAGTCACATAACTCTAGAAATACTTTTAAAGTAAAAGCAAAACAAAGAAATTAAATTATTTTACTATGCAAATATTGTCAGATGCACATAAACATTGCTAGTCAGCAAGGTTTAGAATGAACTCATGCATGCAACCTTGCATCAAAATACATCCTTGCCCTGAGCAACTTCCAGAGATCTGTCTGGAAAATTCCACCATGAAGAACAGTGCAAAACACTACGTCACTCACTACAAGACTTACGTCACAATAGACACGGATCACGGCCGGTGTCACAATCTAACTACACAGCAGGTAATTAGTCCCTTCATGGCCACAAACCTTAATGGGGTTTAACCCCTTGTTCCCCATTCCTGGTCTGGCAAGCAAGGAGTTAAATCCCATTGAGGCATGTGAGGAAGACATGACTAATTATCCGGCTACTTATTTATGTCAAGTGCCCCGCTGTTGTGTGTGTGGCACAATGACAAATGCTGCGGAGTGCCTCGACCCGGGAAGAGATATGATAGGAGACTGCGTGTCTTTTCACCACTGAATGTCACAGACACAAGCATGTTTAAGCAGCACTTCACAAAAAATAAATGCAAATAGAAGAGAACATACCGTCTTTGAGTCTAATTCGTGGTGAGGTTGAGCTAGGACCTTATCTACACTGGCCGCATCAGCAAACGTAACGAAGCCAAATCCCCTGGAAAACAAAACAAACAAAAGCACAGACATACATTAGGAGTCGACAGCGATTGGTTACACGTGTTTGACAGCTAAGCTTGTTAACACATCCATTTGGTTCTATTATCGAACGCTTTGAGAACTTCTGTTTCTATAACATTTATGTAACCTTAGAAATATACAATGAGTCAAGAACAAGAGAACAGCAGTGCACATAAATATAAAACCTGTCATCCTTTTCTACCCATCATGTCATTCCTAACCTGCATGAAGAACCCTTTCATTCGTCTGAGGAAGACAAAATAATGTGTAGAATGACAGCCTCAGTCACCATTCACTATTCCATGTATGAAAAAAAGGATGCAAATGAAAGTCAATGACTGAAACTGTCAGTCCCCAACAATTCCTTTGTTTCACAGAACAAACAATGACAGAATCCCCGTGTGAAATATCCGTTTAATATGCTCATCCTCTTATATTATTTAACAAGAACTTGCCGAAACATTTCAGATAAACGGTTTCCATAACGTGTCAGTCAAGGACACATAAGGACTTTTCACACTACAGTTAATCTTGGGTTAATGCATTTTTAAAGGCCGATTTTAAGAATCGTAATTTCAAATGTGGTTAGCAGGTGAAAATCTGCTATTTATATCCAACTTGTTTAGCAATCTAGACAACCAATCATAAACCACTTTGGCGCTTACATCATTAAAGATTCATCATATGCATTGTAACTTTCACGCGCTGTTTAATTCCGATGTTCGAGGAAAGCAATTGTTTTTAACTGTAGCCTTGATGAAGAGAATTCATTTTTTCAGTACGTTTCCAACTAGACTGAATCTACGTGGCGACATTTCATTTCCAAAGATATCAAAACGCGTGCTGTATAACGTTTTTATCCTCGCGGATTTGCAAATGTGACGCTAGCGTATAATATAAAATCCCACAATATGACACAGCGCAGGATTAATTACTAACCCAAGGTAAAGTATAAGCAGTGTGAAACACGAAACTAAATAACCCAGGGTTAAGAACGACAAGTGTGAAAAAGCCATTGACGTGCCAATGTCAAATCAAAACACACGCGACCGCATTAACCGCTCGTGTATTGAAGCCGGTTGCTGCTTTAACATGAAGAATCCCAAATCAATGTCAAACTGTATCCTATCCAGAAACACACCGATCCAGTCTTTTCAAAAGCGCATAGCAGCCGAATAACAGCGCACGGGCAAAATCGACAGTTCATTTCTCAGAATAAAACCCTCAAAGTGACAGGGATTTTGAAAACACAACATTGTTATTTGTTTGTTTGTTTTTTACCTGGAGCGTTTTGTCGTGGGATCTCTCATCACCATACATTCTCTGATTTCTCCAAATTTACTAAAATAGTCTCTAAGGCTGTCTGTGGAACAAAACAGAAAGAAAAGAGCACATATAAGCAATGCATTCGTGCAGAACACACGAGTTTGTAAATTAAACGCCCCCCTGGATGTCTAACAGGGGTCGAATAGAGGACTTCAAATGACGGAACATATCCCGCACAGCGCGCGCCACGCTGGATACAATGAAAGAAACCCAACACACAGCCCGACAAACGCGCGCATATGACAGCGAAACATCGGTCTCTTACCTGGTGAAGTTTGCCAGCTGAGGCCACCGATAAACATTTTACTGTAAGGGGAAAACAGAGCAGAAGTGAGTCCAGATGTCAGATCGGCCATTTTGACGTGTAGCTAGCGACAAAAAAAGCCGAGCTAAACGAAGGCAAAGCAGAACGGCGTGTGTTTACTGAGCCCCGGCGGGCTGTGCTCACTAATATACATCAAACAAAGGTGTAGTAGTTGCGTGCACCCGGAAGAGCCTTTTTAAAAACATGCACACCGGAGAAAAACACATAAGAAAAAAAAAAAGTCAAGTGCTGTCAGCATTGGTTCTGGCTTACCCCGGGTCGTGTTGCGAATCGTTAGGGCTTCCAGATGTGGCTTGGCTCCCGTCTCCCTCCATGGCTAACCCAACTATGGCCAGTAACTAACACACACACTGTCAGAGCTAAGAGAATATTACTGAGCCGGGAATGCGAGCGTCACACGTGGGATCAGCTCTGCCTGGCTCCCTCCCCCTCCCGTCACCCACACGGGGCGGAGCGCAGAAGGGGCTCGTCACCTCACCCATTCCATTGACGTCATTAGCATGGCCCCGCCCACCCGGGCTCAGAGCATGGGGATCAGATCAAATCGCATCACTTTTGTTGTCACACACTCAAGGGTAGCAGGCAGCTGAAAGTCTACCGAATGAGAAGTGAAAGTCTATCTGAGTGATCTGAATTTGTGTATAAGATAATATTCTAGTTCCAGAGTAGGATTAGCAAAGTTCAGTGATCTTTTTAGTTTTTTTAATTATTATTATAATGCATCAAACAATAAACAGATTTAAAAACTAAATTAAAAAGTCAGAATAGATAGAACCTCTAGCCCACTACAGGAATGAAATTACATCACAAAAAAACTATAAAAAGAAAAAAATGAATAAAGAGGAAAACACTTATACACCAGAAAAATAAATCACAATATTTCAAGAATCTGTCAGAAATGTGTCAATTTCAATTAAGAAATTAAAAAAAAAAAAATAATAATAATTTTTTTTGCTTACAAATAGACTAAAAAAATAACAATCTATTTCCTTGGAGTAGTTGTAGCTTTATAGTAACAGATTATATATTTTAACTGAAAGGATTTGGAAGAATCACAATGCTTGGCCTAATTTTTTTTATTTTTTTTATTGCACCCTAGGACAGAGGAACATTGCATCACAGATAATATTAATATGCACCGATTAATTTGAATACCTTTTCCCCATAGAGAATTCATAACTTACCTTTAATTTGTTTTGAGTTGCTCAAACATGTCCAAAAAGCAAGTAGGGCGTAAATTAATTTCCTGACATACTTGTTTGATGAAATCAATGGCGAGTGTAATTTTTTTTTCCCGAATCTACAGGGATTACAATGGGCAGTGACGATCTGAAATATAAAAAAAATGGTCATCTTCTTTGCAACAAATTGTTAGAATGAGAATCACACTTGTAAACATGCCAAAAATTAATGGGCATTTATGGTTCCTTGAAGAGCCTTCAACAGTCTTTCCATTCCACAAAAGGTTCTTTATACTGGAAAAAGATTAGTACAATGTTCTGCACAGTAACCGTTCACTGAAACCAAAATAAGGTGGGAACCAAAAATAGTTGTTCTATGGCAACCCCATTTCTTTATTTTTTTAAAAGTGTATCATGCACTCATATAACATTACACACACAACTGTACAAAATGTAATAAACACGCAATACAAAATGGAGTAGATCAAATCTCTCAGAAATAAAAACCTCGCTGACCAAAGAAAACAGGCCTTAAAGTAAGCACATCATAAATCATAAGCACATCACAACATGTGTAGTCACATTCTAAAGCACGCATTCAAATATTATTGCTTTCCACTGCTGTGTACTCTCATATAGTGATTATACAGAATACACCTCCATTGGCGACATCCATCTGCCATGTTGAGATTTTAAACTGGAAATAGCTGAGCTATCACACACCGCCTGAGGGTCTGTGGGCCCCTTGACTTCTGCAAAATGCAGTTTTACACATCAATTAATGGTCTTTAAAACGCACAAAAAGGTTAAGGGATCTTGTGCTTATTATCCATGGAGAGGGTGAAGAGAGTCCGGGAAAAAAAGGAAAGAGAGCGAGAGAGGGGCTCAATTAAGGCTGCCTGCTCAGTGGATTTTCAGTCATGCTACAGTGATTGCTGTTTATTTCCTGCAGGCTTGTTTGAGAGAGGCTCCATGCCCCAAAGACACCTCATCATTCTCCCTTTTCCCTTATTTTTTGTTAGTTCTCTGTACCTATATACCAATTCATATTTCCTCTTCTCACCTCTCCTGCTAAAGATAGCTTCTGAACAACAGTCAGAACTCTTGAAGTAAAGAGCACACATAAAGTCAGTGTCCAGGGGAGAGAGACTGAGATGCTCTTGACTGACAAGTGAACCCGCTGTCTCACCTCACTGCCTAGCGGGCTGCTTGTTGGTAAACTGACACATGGGTACCTGTGGGGCACAACCCAGAAAACGAAACATCTCTCTCCCCTCTCAGTTTACTCTCTCTCGAGCTTTGAGCAAGACAAGACCACCGGAAAAAAAAGAATATAAACAACGTGTCAAAGATGCTCATTGTTTTCAATCTTTATTGACATTATAAGTATTAATAATAATCATTATCAGCTGAAATTAAAGGAGTAGTTCACTTTATTTATTCAAGATATTATGTCATTCTTTCTTCAGTCGAAAAGAAGGTTTTTGATGAAATCATTCCTGCATTTTTCTCCATATAATGCACTTCAGTGGGAACCAAACGGTTCAAGGTCCAAAAGACAGTTTCAGTGCAAACTGCAAACTGTTCAAAGGGCTTTAAACTATTCCAGATGATGTATACGGGTCTTATCAAGCGAAACGATCGCTCATTTAAAAAAAAAATTATAATAAGTTTAACTTTTATAAGCTCAAAAGGTGTAATTTTCGTGTAATTTGGTTCATTCAACAAACGAAATGAGCGAATTGACTCGAAAAAAGATTCATTCATTTTGATGAACGAGTTTGAACGGGAGAGTCACGAACGCGCATCACAGAACACAGCAAGGCGACCATTTGACCTTATAAAACTTAAACTTTGTTATTTTTTTGCTTGATAAGACCCTTATTCATCGTCTGGAAACGTTTAAAGCCCTTTGAACAGTTTGCAGTTTGCACTGAAACTGTCTTTTGGACCTTGAACTATATACTGCATTATATGGAGAAAAATCCTGGATTGTTTTTATCAAAAACCTTCATTTCTTTTCGACTGAAGAAAGAAAGACATGGATATCTTGGAGGACATGGAGGTGAGTAAATTATCAGCAAAAGTCTTTTTTAAAAGTGAACTTTAAGCTCCTCCTGCATTTAGCCTGAAATGTCATTTCTGTTATGCATCACCACTGCCGTTCCATTTCATTGTGATTCAATACGTAATTACATTTCTGATAGGCTTTGGCAGAACGTTTTACAGGGTATTTAAGATCATCGAAATGACATAATTTCATAATAGGATTTGACAAACATAACGGTGGGCAAAACAGTTTATTCAGCACAGAACAGCAATTAAACTGACCACCTGAAAGGGCATGTTGCCATTACAATAAAGAGCCATGTCAGATTTTTATTTTATTTGATTTTTTTTTTTTTTTAGAATCATGGCTAATTGAGATTTGGCATAATTGAACAGGAAATTACTGTTCGGGGCGAGGTTTTAAATATCTACACAAGTGTTTCATAGCATATAAGCCTTAAAAACCATTTAGGAGTATTGTTTTTATGAGGCCAAACATTTACTGGTTCATTAAAGAACACTGAGTACCTCATTAGACCTTTGATTAGCTTCTCATTTACTTGTTAGAAATGCATTATGAACTGCAGAATTAGCTCAAAACATTTTTGACACCTTTTTTGTCTGATCAAACACACAAAAGATCTATTCATCTACGTTTCGGCGTGTAGATCAGCCATAAAATCCTCTACACAACAAATACATTGCTGCCTTGAGACGAGGCATCAATTTCATACGCTTATGAATATTAGCATTCACCATATGCATATTCATGTTGCTTGTGACATAAACAGAGACACGGTTGTCGGGTTTGATGAAATGAAATTGAAATGTAACTTTAAAAGAAACACACATCAAGAGGATATTTAAATATACACATTTGCATTCGGCGGTTTTGAAGGCATGCACGCTTTATTAATGCCGCAACCCTCGCCATTATTAAGTTAAATCTAATGTCTCTGGAAATCCATTAGTCTTCAAAAACAGTGGAGAAAGACGTCTGAACTGAAGACCCTTTTTAAAGACTAGACTAAGTGCACAACACAGATCTGTCCAATTAGAGCCTGTGCATTTAGCAATTAGAGAGAAAAATGTAATGTGCCAAACATTGCCTAAAATGGCCAATTTGACAATGGAGTTAGAAAATATCTGCTCAGATCTTTAAATGGATAATTAGAGAGATAATACTTCATGTTTAAGAAACGGTTTTAATGGAGGTTGAAATAATAAAGAATGGAGTCTCGTCATGTTGTCGATTTTCAAAGCAGTGTTCCGGCACCTATAAATGATCGTAAAATTCTTCAGTTTGATGGATTTTCTTTCCACAGCAGGCCCTGGATGATCATGGAGATTCAATTGGAGCATTTACATATTATCTTTCACTGAAAAACACCTTTTTTTGTCATTTAGAAGGGCACACATGTACCCACTATCCAAAATGGCAATCCTTTCTTACTGTTTAAGGGTTACACTTTATTTTAAGGTGACGTAGTTACATTGTACTTACTCAAAATAAACTACATGCACATAGTTATAGGGTAAGGGTTTGGTTGAGGGTTAGTTACTTGTAATTATAAATAATTTACTGTTATTATACTGTAGTAAGTATATGTAGTAATGTCATCTTATCGAATAAAGCACAATAAAATGTATGGCTGTTATCTCTAATAGGCTGGTCCACCAGCAATCCTTCTTGTTTTAATTGGTAGATGCTACACATTCGGATTATTCTGATCTAATTTTTTTCCTAACTTAAAATATCATTTTATACATTTTCACTTATTTCCGTCCTGGTAAAGGCCTAAAAGTGCTTCATGTTATAGTCTGTGCTGATTTAAGAACAGTTATTATAAATCACATATTTCTAAGCTCCCTTGAATTTTTAAGTACAATCAACTTGGATGTTTAAGTCATTTCAACTCAAATTAAACTGACTTGAAGAAATGAGTTTCTTGTATAACTTGTACAACATAGAAAAAAAGTTAGATACGTTAAAGCAAAGTAAAAACATATGTCGTCATACATTGCTGATCATATGTTTTACAGTGTCCATAAGAATAATTGGAAAAACATAATGAATTAAAAACACAATTTAGTCTTTTCAGTATTCAAACAAATCAAATCTGGCTGAAAAGATTAAAGAATCAATGCAGATATGATCAGTCGTGTTACTGACCTGCAGTAGATATGTGAATTACCAAT